GAAAGCCTTGAATTGTCGTCGAGGCCGTGAGACGACAATGCGATGAAAGTTCACTACTGCGGGCATTTGTTACATAAAGACTGGTGGCTTGACCAGGTGATTGCCCCGCAGTAGCCAACCTTCTCCCGGTGATGGACGGGGGCATTTCCCAATTAATTTTTTTTGCTTGAAGTATATATATATTTTTTTCCTTCAGTACGCGAACCCAAACCGCCTGACAAAACAGATACAATCATTTTGATGCTGAAAGAGGTTGGTAACTTGCATGACGTCTCAATTTTAGAAATAAGATCTTGGTTGCGCCTCTCTCTCTCTCTCTCTCTCTCTCTCTCTCTCTCTCTCTCTCTCTCAATGCGGCCCCCCGACACTATAGAGAGGCATGGATCGACACACAACATTGTTGACGCTGTTGTTGTTATTTTTTCACTTTTATGTATATGGGAAAAACAGGGCAATGGCTCCAAGGCCAAAATACTAGGATCTGTGCAGGTCTTTGAAGGCCGCAGGAAAGAAGGACAAATAGAGGAAGAAATCCAAGGCCGAAAAGAAAAAAGATTCGAGAGAACATCGTAGAAGCGGATCTGAGAATGCAAAAACAGAACGCACCAGCAGGTGAGAGCACGGATCAAAAGTTTAAGTCCCATCAAGTCAGCGCGTTCTTTCAAAGCTGAAAGAACGCAATGAGTCCCCCCCTTCGACTCCCGCCCCACGGAGCCGTGCCAGCGGTGCCGAGAACCGTCCGCCCAGGGCCCTCGAGAAGAGGCCGCGGGAAGATCAAATCACAAAGGTGCACCGCACCACAAAGAAGAGAATCTCCTACAAAAAGAACACAACGGTGGACATGATCGATCTGAGAGGGTCGGACAATATGCACAGCGGAGACCGAGAGGAAGCAGAGGAGGAACACGGCCACCCCTCATCAGAAAAGTCCGACAGGGAGGATGACAACGCATCAAGGGACGAGGTCGACGACAGTGAGAACTCCCACGGACATCCTCGCGACACTGACGAGGCTGACGACGACGACGGCGGGAGTGACGACGGCACCGCGCACGAAGAGAGTGACGATGGGTCAGCCCAAGACGACAGAAGCGCATCTAGAAGAGCGAGTTCCCCGTCCCCATCCGGAACACAACGCACGAGGGTCCCCAGGAGGAACACAACGCACGAGGGCAGCGCTGCCGACACGCCTTTCATTGGCAGACAAATAGTGAGGCACGCTAATACTGCTGGAAAAGGTAAACAAAGTGCGCTGAAGTTGCCGCCCTTGCAAAACGATTACATTCGGACTCGCAAAGTTCAGGCACATTGCTGAAGCAAGGATTTGACTTTGATGAATATGCGGTTGAATTGAACTCCCGAATGTCGCTAGTGCTAAAATGTATCTGGACTGCCGAGTTCTAAAATTTTGTTATGTGCGCTGTGATGTCTGTCTCCCAGCAGATGACACGAACTCGCAAGCAAAAGTGTGCGCAAATAGTGGAGGACAACGTCAAGTGAATGAACAGTCCGGCGCATTCACAAAGAGAATGAGGGGCAGGCTGTTCCGCTTGGTCGCGAAAGCCTTTGCGTTCTCTGCAGCAAAGGACGCAACTCTGTACCCTACAGAGGATGCATTTTTCACATCGCTGCAAACCACGGCCAAACTGGTGGGGGAGGTTGCGGAGGAAGGACTGCCCTCACACGTAGCGTCCTGCGGGATTCGAGCAGTCATAGGGGAGTGCAACAGAATGATGACGACCGTGCGTGGGGAAAAATCATGGCAACTGAAACATTGGTTTTGGGCTGAAAAAGGGATCCCGCTTGTGCAGTCGCAGCAAACAGATCACCAGCTCCCCACTCGCAACAAGATGCGAGCAGAGATGAAGGAAAATAAAACGTGGAGACGGAGCGGCGATGATCCTCGGGGCGCCCCTGCCTTCAAGACGACACTCACCAAGGTTTTTTAGATGAGGAGGGACGACGTCAACCTTGGAGTGACACTGCAGCAATTGGCTTTTGCGGAGATGGTTATGCAATGCGAAATGGAGCAGACAACAAAGACCACCAAAGCAGCAGAGAAGATTGAAAAATTCGTTTCTATAAAGCAAGACATCGTATCATCTCTTCGTAGCCGCGATACAGTTATGAGTTTTTCGATCTTCAAGCTGGATCGTGCCGTATCCGTAGCTGAGAAGGTTGCTGCACTGTTTCGAGCTGGTGTGCCGTCTGTCCACAGGAGTGGGTCTCCTACCACCACAATAACGGATGATGGTTTCGACCTCGAGTTCATTGCACCTCAGCGTGAGAGAAGCAGAGACGAGGAGAGGGATACAGAAGGTCTGTGCGCCAGACCTTGAACAACGGGGGGCGGATGCCGTAGTAGTGTGCATCAGAGGTTGATTTTGGAATTTTTGAATCAGAAGGTTCATTACCCAACGTCGCAATCATTGCATGCTTGTGAGAGAGAACAGGATAGTTCAGAGAGAGTTCGGAGAGTTTGGAGAGAGAGAGAGAGAGAGAGAGAGAGAGAGAGGTGGGGAGATGAAGACACTGAACTGTGTGCTTCGAACAGTCACTTAACAAGACATGGTCTGTTATTTATGACACACAAATGTACAATGCCTTCTAATGGTCATCTTTGTGTATTTGGTCCTTGAGCGACTATGTTATGAAAAAAAAACAGCAACCGTGGCTGTCCTCAATGCAAGGTTGGGTTGTGCATGCCACTATCTCTCTCATGCTCACATGTTGCTAGAATTGTGTCACGCAGTGGTGAACCGTGTTTGTTGCAGGGAAGCTCACGATTTAACTGAGGCTTCCACACGTGTGGCCACATATAGAATGAAGCGACAGCAATCCTGCAGACTCAAAAGGAAGGTTGGCTACTGCGTGCCACTCTCTCTCAAACACAGCCATATCGGTATTTTTTATGCCCGCAGTAGTGAACCGAGCTTCTAGTCTGGCAGCTCAGCATGTAATCGACGTTCCCTTACACAGATATCACCAGAATCAAATACCGCCATCTAACATCAACAGCAAAGAGAGGTTCAGTACTGCATGACACTTTCTCTCAAACACAGCCATGTGGGTAATTTCGTGTTACGCAGTAGTGAACCTTTCTCTCTCTCTCTCTCTCTCATTTCAGTCATTGCTTTTGTTGCATGCGAGGTCCGCCAGAAGACCCAATACATGACATTTGCGAAATTGCACAGCGAATCGTCCAACAGGAGAAAAGGACGGGAACAAACCACGAAAACCCACGACATGAGCACTGCGAAACGAATTTTTCCCCCCCATACAAAACGCGGACCATACAGGAAAGGTGAAACGTTTTCAACACGTTTCAACAAGTTTTCAACACAGTTCAACAAGTTTTCAACAAGTTTCAACACGTTTTCAACACGTTTTAACAAACTCTCAACAACTCTTCAACAAGCTCTCAACAACTCTTCAACAACTGTTCAACAAGTTTTCAACAACTGTTCAACAAGTTTTCAACAATTGTTCAACAGTTGGACCAACATCATTTCAACAGTTGGACCAACAGATGAACACACCAGTTTCAGTTTTTCCAATATTTGGTCAGCGTTGGTTTCCTTGACTTTTGGTAGAACACATGACCCCCCCCCGCCAAACAGTTTATAAACACAGTTCCAACAGTTGAAATATGGTGTCCACATATGTTCATCAAGGCCAAAAATTTGCCACAATTTTTCTGTTGGACCCCAGACCCTGCCCGATATCGTAGATCACATCCTGGCGGTCCATCGAGGGACGCCCACGAATCGACAGGCCTGAGCCCTTTTCAATTAAGGAGCAATAGCGTGGCCTGCGTTTCAATACCAAGCCTCCCAGACGAATCTTCGCTGAACCGACGGCCCACCAGGGCCACGGTTCGAGACAAGGCCAAGCGACACATGGAATTGATGGAAAGGTCCCTGCCTCGATTGGCCCGAAAACGCCAGAAAATGACTGAGTTGGCCCACTGCCGATAGGTCCGTAGTTACGAGGCCTGGAACGGGAATGCGGGTCCGCGGTCCACGTATAAATTAGGGGATTTGGTGCAGGTGAGGAAATGTGCTCACCAAGGTAAGATAGCGCCACAATTTTCAGGCGATTCCGAGTGATCGAGCTTGGACCGGACGGAGTGAACACCGTGCGCCTCGTGCCGGAGGTCTCGGGAAGCCGATCGGCGTGGCCGATCATTCGCCACGTGTCTTACCTACGTCCCCTCCCTTCCTCCCCATCTCCTGCACCCTCTTCCTCTTCCTTGGCTACGGAAGAAGATGACGACTCTCCATCACTCTCTTCCTCCCCTGCATCTCTCGCCTTTTCCCATACTCCGTCCCTTCCACCATCGCCATGAGTTTTCTTGTGGAGCGAGCTCTCGGCGATCATCTGCTAGTGCCACGAGGCTGCATCTCAGCGATTCGGCAGGTTTGTCATCCACGGTTCTATCTGGATCTTCTACAACTTGCGCAATTCTTCTGCACTTCGGGGGTATACGCAGCAGCCGAGTTCCGATTCGCAGGCAGTCACCAGGCGGTTGTGCTCGCAGAGGCAGTAGCTGTCCATCGACGGTCAGCTCTAGGGATCAGCCACGTGTCCACAGTTGTCGGCTTCAGCGGCGATATCAGCACGATCAGTCCGCTGCGGCATACAACGATTCGGACGTCACTGAGGGAGTGGGGACAGCCATTGGCAGCGGAGTGGAACCACTGGCTCACGCGCCAAGGGGACAATCTTGTTCCTACGGACGACATCGATCTTGGTGGGATTCGAGCATCCTAGCACGAGCCGGCGGTGGTGCTTCCGGAACTTATCCCCTTCCAGCGTCCCCAATGAACCGCTCTCAACTCTCCACCTTCGCCCTTCCATCTCTCTTTCCCACCTTTTGGCAATCTGGTCTTCACCCTCGCTTCTCTTTCTGTTTGGAGCCGCTCGCTGTCCCCCTTCTCGATCCAAGGGAGTGGAGGCTCTGGTGTGAACACTTCGTCGATCTCTCGGTGTGCCTGGTCGGAGTGCGACTCACGTGGACCAGGGACGAAGAGCACCACGCTTGGGCCTCTCTTCGTTTTCTCCACTGGCTCACGCGCCAAGGGGACAATCTTGTTCCTACGGACGACATCGATCTTGGTGGGATTCGAGCATCCCAGCACGAACCGGCGGTGGTGCTTCCGGAACTTATCCCCTTCCAGCGTCCCCAATGAACCGCTCCCAACTCTCCACCTTCGCCCTTCCATCTCTCTTTCCCACATTTTGGCAATCTGGTCTTCACCCTCGCTTCTCTTTTTGTTTGGAGCCGCTCGCTGTCCCCCTTCTCGATCCAAGGGAGTGGAGGCTCTGGTGTGAACACTTCGTCGATCTCTCGGTGTGCCTGGTTGGAGTGCGACTCACGTGGACCAGGGACGAAGAGCACCGCGCTTGGGCCGAGTACTTGGAGTTGTTGATCATCCAAGCTTGGAGGACGGACGTGGAGGGCGATCTTCTCGGATTCCTGTTCGGATCGGTGCGGCCCGACCATCGCCAGCTGATCGTGCAAGATCTCATAGTTCCTCTCGTGCACTTGGTTGACGATCTCCCCTTTGAGATCGTCTCGCAGAGTGACGAGAGCCCGGTCCCGCACGTCCTCACACGAACACTCACGCCGTACGTTCAGTGGTCGGCGTGCCGTGAGGAGCCGGAAAGCGGCCGCAACCCGCCATCGCAGCGGGGATATCTAGATCCCTGGGAGATAATCGACCTCGCTTTCTTCCAGGATCGAACGGCCTCCGAAAACGAGGAGTTAGCGATCGAAGCAGAGGAGATATAAGAAGAAGAATAAGAAGCTGCTGAGGAGGACGACGAGGAAGCGACACCGGAGGAGGGGAGTTATAGTGAACATAGTGAAGGAGAGCAGAGTGAGGAGGAAGAAGAGGAAGAGCTAGAGCTGGAAGAATCTGAGTGGAAGATCTCGGCGGAGGAGGCGGAACAAACGAACGCTCAGTGAGAGGACCCCGAGGCGGCGTGCAAGAGAGAGGAGATCGCGGTCGAAAAGCGACAACTGGAATTCGCCAGCGGAGTAAATCTGCAGATCGTCGACGATCCGGCCCGAGATCCGGAGCCGCCGAAGCCCGAAGATGGAGACCCAACGACCGAGACTTTGAGTGCACCAGCAAGGCGGCGCCGAAGCTGATCCCCCTCCCCCTCCACCTCCGACCGTCCACCAGTTCAAGCCCGTACCAATGCGGGTCATTGGGCTTCGTTCCCGGTCGTTATCCCGCCGTTCCCTTGACCATCTCACCCTCCGCCAAATCACCACCCGTATCACCTTCCCCCGTAATCCCTTCCCCATCGATAGCTTCCGATTCTTCTACGCTACTCGCCTCGTTGTTACTGTTCACCCCTATCCCTCGACCCGGTGCGCCCTCCCCGACTTCTGCCTTCACGCCCTTCTCCTTAGTGCCGCGTGGTTCGGCCACAATATCGTCGAAGTTTATTGCATGATTACGAGGACTATCCCCGCATGCAAGAACTACGACCATTTTCGCGTGACACTCTTCCGAACCTTGAGCACTCTATATCCCGATTACCTCGCCTCCCCCCCCCACAGTGGTAATCGCTTCCCCCGTTTTCACCGAATCGTCCGATATCAGGAGCTTCCGGAAACGGTGGCGCGGATGAAAAGCTTCTTACCCCCGCTCTCAATTAACCCTCCCCCCCGCCATGCCCCCATGTACCGTCTCCCCTTCCCCCTCCCCGGTGGACATTGATGATCGGTTGATTGGTGTGCGTGCCACGGCGATGGCACGAATAATCCCCTCCTTGGATTGACGAGAGCCCTCCTGAGGAATCTGTAGGACAGAGCCCGTATGCCATGTTGGATGACACCCACACTCCTTCACACGGTAAGTGGCAACGTAGAAAGCTCCGCGTGTCAATCGATTAGAGAGATCGACACGTGTCATGATTCAAGCAAGCAGAAACTTGCTTAAGATTGGAACCCCCTGGGCGTTGTCGAGCGCATTGGTCCGGCACTACTCAAGGGCAGCGCGAGACCCTCCCGACCGCGTCACGCAGGAGTTGGAATGAATCCTCGTTGCGATACTTACATGGAGTTTCCGCAAGCCGCTCCGGTCGAGTGCGCCAGCCATACCTCTTGCAAGCCCCTACGGCAGGACAGGGCCTACGCGAGGCACGACTTACCTCCACCTTACGGGAGCTGTCACCTCCCTTCGGTGGACGTATCCCCGCCGAGCTACCAGTCCACAGTACGAAAGTTGATCAGTTGCAATCGCAGAGGTGGACCAACCATGGGCGTTTCTCGTTCGCTGTAGCATAGGGGGTACGCGCGGTAATACGCCTCTATCGGACCCGCACGCGAATCGACAACTTGGGGGGCTGAGGTCCCAAGTGCGGCTTGACATCGGTCGACTAAGACGCATCCCACTCACCACGCATACGCCATACTACAAACACAAAAATAAAACACACACCTAACATACACACGGAACGACACAACATACCTAGACGCGACAACGCTCCTAGTCCCTCAGTAGCCTTCCCATAACTCTCTGATGCGGAAATCGAATAGGCGTCACGCGTGGGACTTAGTATAAAGTCGCGCGGACGCAGGGCCTGCTCATATCGACTAGCAGTGCAAACGTACGCAAGTAGTCACACTCATGGCGTATCATGTAGTACCCCTACTCATGCGGTCCTTGTTGATCTCGAGGGTCGCACTCGACACTCAAGTGTCGGCTGACACGCGCCTTGAGGGTTAATCTCTCGATGCTGGACAACCGCCATGCGCGGTTGAAGACCACACACCCTCTTCTGCACCTTATGCAGAGCGGGTGGTACACAGGACTATACCTGTGGTGACAATTGTTTCTTGCTGCCCTGGGGATAAGCCCCACTCCAGGCCCGGACACGAGTCAAGGGGTTTGACTTTGACGGCTGCCACGGACTACAACGTCCAACCATAATAATCCCAAAAAGCAAATGTAGGTCGAAGGCCTTCCTGCCCCAGAATCACAATCTTGGGTACCCCCGCTTTTCTTGCAGTTGGCTCCACGGCCCATGCCGATGCCGAACACTCGGGCGCCCGGTCGAGTCTCTCGATCCCATAACTGCGGACCATGGGGCGGCGAACCGTCGTGCGTAAGATTTTGATATACAACGGCGAGGTTGCAGGACCGTCCTATACCAACCAGCGATGCTAATTATATGCGGTGATCGCGGTCTCGACCTCGTGATATTGAATGGTTGAAGGAGTATGTCGTGGGGGAGGTTACCCCTCACGATATTGAACGGCTGAAGGACATGCCGTTCAGCCCCCGCGACACTTCTGCCCTTTGGGTTGGGTGTCTCAGTCGGCAGAGCAAATAGGCTCTGTGCGAGGGCAGGGTCCTTCTCTACAGAGCCTAGGACTTGGGGTGTCCTGGACAAGGACCTTGAACCCCGGCCCAGGACTAACGTCCGACCAAAAATTCAGAAACAAGCATACAAGTGAGAGGAAGGGGTTTTCTGCCTACCTCTCCCCTATTTATCCCTTAATATGAGGGCCCCTTGGGCCATGCGAACCTCCCACGTAGGTATACACACACATATATATATATACAATGGGGTAAATATGTGACGATCATTTCTCACAACCACAGTGAGGCTCCTCACAACCATATGTATATGTGTGACAGTAGACAGTTAAATCCAGAATCTGAACCACAGAACGCACCTGCAATCACATCAAAGAGTCAATGAAGTCCACAAACTACACGGAGTCAACCCCAACCGCTCTACATACTCATACCCCCTGCTTTAGCCATGCAAGCCCCAGCCTCCAGCCAACGGACCATAATTAAATACTTAGTACCTTTGTTAAATGGTCATTCTAGAAAAGTCCGGGTGAAACCTTAACAAAATAATAAAAATCACCAGGGCTAAAACATTTTTAGGTTGAGTAGGGAGGGCGAGTTGGAATTGAGTCGTAGACCGACGAATCGGCAACCTTATCAACGATAACAGAAGGTGATCCTTGTAGGATCAAGCTGAATCTAGCCCAAGTCCTGAATCAATCGATCAAGGAGACCTGTAACATAAGACAGGTCAATCCCAAGCTAAGTCTACAAATTCATGGGGAACAATCTCCACAACACGATCTTACTCAGGTCACCACACTTATCTAAGTCTACGTCTACCTCTAACCAGTGCCTAAGCAGAGGTAGACTATGGCGTAGTCTCTCCCACATACGTCGCCACCTGTCACAATATAAGCCAACTCCTCTAATTTAGGAAAATTTTGGCAGCGCTTCCCGTAGGAAAAGTGCCATCGCAGAAAATATACTAGCTCAAAAGTTCAATCTTTGGATTTCAGAAAGTCAAAATTTGTCTAACTCCCTAACTTAGCAAAAATTTGGGCAGCGCTTCCTTTAGGGAGGAAGGTTTCCCAGATTTATACCAAGTCAGATTTGAACTTAGACATAAAGTCTAGGTTCTGTTAAGGCAGAATCTCAACCAACTCCTTAGATTTGTAGAAATTTCGGCAGCGCTTCCCGTAGAGAAAGTGCTAGTCCAAGATTTATACAAAGCTAAGTTTAAAATCTGAAATGACTTTGACCCTTCAGGGCCCAATTTTGGCTAACTCCCTGAATTAGCAAAAATTTGGGCGGCACTTCCTTTGGAAAAGTAGGCTTCCCAGATTCTTACTAAGTCAAAAAGTCATCGAGACTGGATTCTGGAGAAGCCAAAGTTTTGACTAACTACTTGGTTTTATAGAAATTTCGGCAGCGCTTTCCGTAGGGAAAGTAACTTGCTAAGATTTATACAAGACCAAGTATAAATAAAGGATCCCAGAAATGCATAAATAGATCTAAGTAAAA